AAACAATCTTGTAAAATCTGTATTGATCTTCTTTATCAATATATATTTTAAATTTGAAAATTGTGTTTGTATTCATCCCCCCCTTCTACAAACTGTTTAGTATTCTTGTAGACCCTTTTGGGACCAACAGTATGATACTGCAGACAAAGAAAATTTGTTTACAAGTGCTGTAAGTGGCGATCTCTACTCTGATTCTACTCAAGAAAGTTCATCGATAAATAACAATAATTCACAAGCAACTCCTCAAAGTCAGATTATTCAACAAGATCCATCACTAAATGTGTCAACAAAAACACCGCCAAGAAAATTCAGAACTATGCAAGATATACTTCAAAATACACAACGTGTTGATTTTGATGAAGTAGCCGATTTTGTCCCTTTTGCTGATGCAAATCCACTTACATGTGAAGAAGCAGTTAAAGATGAAAAATGGAGGGAAGACATGGACAAAGAGATTAATGCAATTGAAAGAAACAACACTTGGGATTTAGTTGATCCTCCTATTGGAGTAAAATGGGTATTCAAGACAAAATTGAATGAGAAAGGAGAATTGGATAAGCATAAGGCTAGACTTGTAATCAAGGGTTATAAATAGAAACAAGGAATAGACTTTAACGAGGTATTCGCTCCTGTTATCAGATTAGAAACAATTTGTTTGGTTCTAGCCTTGGCAGCACAACGAGGATGGGAGGTGCATCAAATGGATATTAAATCCGCTTTCTTGAATGGCTATCTAAATGAAGTGGTGTATATTGAGCAACCTCAAGGATATGTTAAGAAGGGACATGAAAACAAAGTGTGTCGATTGAACAAAGCCTTATATGGATTGAGACGGGCACCCAGAGAATCGATTAATACTTCTCGACTCATGGTTTCGATAGGTGTTCCCATGAACATACACTCTACATAAAGAGACATGAAGGTAATATTCTTATTTTATGTCTTTATGTAGATGATCTGGTTTTTACAAGATCAACATTAGGCGAAAAGATATGCTAAGGAATTGCTTGCCAGATTTAATATGTTGGACGCCATGCCTGCGTCTACACCTATGGACTTCGGATTGAAGCTTTCTAAAAACATAATTGAAGCAAGTGTGGATGCTATGTTATTTCGTGGATTGGTTTTGATGTACCTTACTAGAACACGCCCTGATATTACATTTTCTGTTAGTTTGATTATGGTTCTGTTAGTTTGATTAGCAGATTCATGGTAGCCCCTAAAATAAGTCATTGGAAAGCAGGGAAAAAAATTTAAAATTTATAAAGGGTACATTAAATCATGGAATCACCTATTTCAGCTCGGAAGAACCAGTTCTTATAGGATTTAGCGATAGTAACTTTGGAGGGAATATTGACGACAACAAGAGTAGTGCAGACTATGTGTTTAATGTAGGTTAGGGAGCAATACCATGGCAAAGCAAGAAGCAAAATGTGGTTGCATTGTCTTCAGCCGAATCAGAATATATCTCTCTATCCTTAGCAGGTTGTCAAGCATTATGGTTGCGTTCTATTATGAAGGAATTAGATTGTATTCAAGTTAAACCCACAAAGGTTTATTGTGATAACATGTCAGCCATCGCTCATACAAAAAATCCAGGATTTCATGGAAAGAGTAAGCATATAAGAGTCAAAAACCACTTTATTCGAGATCTTGTACAAAGAGGAGAAGTGATTATCAACTTTTTGTAGCACCAAAGAACAAATGGCTGATACATTCACCAAGGCTTTGCAAATTGGAAGTTTTAATCAATTCAAGAAGGATTCATGAGTTACGGAAATCTAACTTAGGAGGGAATGTTAGAAGTATAAGCTAGATTTCAGTTACAGTTTATGACAGTTTGGCGCAATATATGGCGGTTACTATTCTAACCGACACCTTCTAAAGGGTGCAAAGGTTCAGTGTTATGTATATATATATGTTCGTAGTATGTATGTAAAAACGGATGATCAACATATAATAAAGTGTGTTTAGTGTGTATCTGTCATCTCTTATGTGAATTTAATCCAACAAGTATTGGATCATTCCTCGTGTCGGTCCACGAATGATGGACCGACAACATTAAAACTATTTAAATCTCCTCTCTTGAGGCACAACCGAAACTATCCTGATGTGTTTTTGCTTTAGAGAAGAGTCACAAATGGGTATAACATTGCCAGAAGTTTGGGTGGGGGAGGGCTAAGAATCGATTGAGGAGAGGCACTTCACATTCTTTCATAGAGGAGGAGTTCAAATCTCTTTTTATTGGGATAGAACTCTTTTTCTGTAGGTTAAGAGAATATATCAATTTACTACATGTAATTTCTACCAATTCAATTATGTTAATACATATATTTCATTTATTTGATTGGTTTGAGCTTGACTGTAAAGGTTAAAAGAGGTTCCAGGTTCAAATCCAAGGAGGAATAAAAATCCTCTTGTGGCAACGGAGGTTCAAATGCGGCGACTTCGGGCTATCTGCAAAACAGATGGTCGCCTAAGATTAGTCGGCTCGCATAACGAGTTGGATATCCATGTTAATAAAAAAACATGTTAAAGCAAAACCTGAAGTCAACAAAGGCACACCACATAGAAGATCATGTATTAAAAACAACCCTAAAATTAAGATCAAAATCTATATCGATCAGTTACATTAAGTACGAACAACCATCGCATTATTAATTTGCAGGTATTATCACAAACCAAAAAGAGAGGAGAGTCGAGATACAATCGAAACCTAAACCTTAGTAACCTCTTCATATATGTAATCTCATACGATATGATTTATTAGGTAATCATGTTTTTTATTCTCTAATTATTTGCACTAAAAACCTGCTTTATTATGTAAATATTTTACGTTACTGCAGCAACTTTAAACCCATAAAGCTCCAGCCCTGATGAGCATTGGCTTCAAAACCCTTTTGAGTTGAAGACTCATGATCTCATTAGCTCCACCAACCAACTCACCACCAATGAACACAGTGGGCATCGTACTGCACCCAACCCCTGACAATGCCTGCTCGATTTCCCGGCCTCTTGCAATCTCATCAAGCTCATAGACTGTAGGGTTCACACCAAAGTCATTGAAGAGAGACTTGACTGTGTGGGACAAGATGCAAGAACTCTTACTGAAGATCACCACAGGCCTATCAGAAACCATCATGTTCACTCTATCCATCAGTAATTAAAACTATTAACTTACAAATGTTAGTGATTGAAGAGACTTTTTGATTTGTTGTGTGGAATGTGAGTAGTGAGCATGGGGAGATTTATAGGGTTTGTGAGGATGATATGTGGAGAAAAGAGAATGTTTTAGGTTGGTGACAGATTGTATCAGGTTCCAGTGATGGGCTTTGCCTCGAAAGTTGACAGTGATAACTAGGCAAAAGTTAGGCCGGTAGCGAATCCCTTACTAGCTACGCTACGGAAGCAGATTTAGATATCTATGACTAAGTTTCTATGTGTACGGCTTCATATTCTATTCTTTAGTTGGTACGTTTTCATTCCAAATTTCTAATGGTCTTTTCAACAAGTGGAACGTTGTATTTTCCATCAATGCTAATTTCTGAACCTATTTGACAAAAACATAAAACACATTAACTACACGGTGGTATCTGATTGGTTTGAGTTTGGTTTCAATGGTCAAAAGTACTAGAAGGTCATAGGTTCAAGTCCAAGGAGGAATAAAAATCCCCTTGTAGCCATGGAGGTTCAAATACGGTGACTCCGGAATATCTGCAAAACAGGTGGTCGTCCTGGGATTAGTTGGCTCGCATAGCGAGTTGGATATCCAGGTTAATAAAAAAAAATAAAAAAATAAAACACATTGTGATTCATTTATACAACTTAAACATCTCGTAATCGTGTGAAACATTCTTTAATTACGACACAGTTTACCTAGAAATCCATGGAAAACATTCGGAACGAAACAAGTTAATTAGGGTTTACAACTTGCCTTGGCAAGATGCATTTACGACCAGAAGTTGCTCATTTTCTCATCCTGGGCACTCAGGACCGTCTCTTAGCATGTTAAATGTAAGATTTCAAAAACAGGGCCTCCAAAATTTTGGGGCCCAAGTTTATATTTTTAAGGTCTTTTTATCGACTTATTTAAAACTATAGCCGAAATTATTTAGGTTCAAACCATTAATTATTTGGTTTTAGGTTCAAATCAGTAATGGTTTAGGTTTAGTTTCAGATTGTTAATCGTTTTAGGTTTAACCCATTTTTATTCTTAAACATATATCATCTGTCATCTCATTTATGCAATGTAATCAAAATGTGGGTACTCCTTTAATTTCATATCTACTTAATACTAAAATTAATATAATACCAATTTATTTTTTTATGCCGAAGAGAACATAATTCACCTTTTTGAGATTTTGTTCTTTCAATTTAATATTAGTTAGGCCGAGTTGATGCAATTTTTTCTATATTCGATGGAATTTAATTTTCTTCTCTTTAAAAAGTCCATATGCTTTTCGTTTTACAATTTTCTTGGATTCTCTTACGATTTTCCCGTTTTCTTTAAAGTTCAAAATTTAAATTTAAATCATTATGTAAGGATATACACCTCCTTATCTCTGCTAAGCTAAAACCAATGGGACAAATTTGCTCTTATTTGGATCAAAGAGAAATTAAAATTGAACATGCGATTATTCCATAATTCTGGTTGACATGATATCCTACACGTATATTTCAAACCTTGGGACGGACTCGTGCCACCGCTTCATAGTTCCGTCTAAAGAAAATAGCAAGTTTTTTAAGGGTGCCACCATATTATTTTGCTCGGTGCCACCATATAATTTTTGAAACTGAAGCTTTGGTATAGGTTTCTAATTGCATAATTGGTAAATAATGCTTCTTTTGGTGAAAACCTTGGCTTCAAGTCCCACCAATGTCAATTTTTTTTAGTTTTTAACTCAGATTTTGATTTTTTTTTTATATGTTTTAGAAAAAAATATATCCTAAACTCGAACATGAGTCCATTCTATGCAAGGATAACAAACCAATCAACCAATCTATACTAATATTATGAAATATATCGAATATAACACGCTGAGCCAAATCTTCTTTATGTAAAACCTGCTTGATTTAGATCGGGAAAATCGTGTGGTTTTATGAAACCATGTGCTATGACTCGAATCCGTATTTTAACATGTTTATTTTTTATAGTCAAATTGTATCATTACCCCAGAAAAATTTCTAGATTTGTCTCCAATTTCACCTTGGTGATTCACAATGCATATAAAGATTCTTGGTCCATTATCTCATGTAAGATAAGTTTTGGTATGAGTTTTCATGCGGGTATAAGCAAAGTTGGAGTTATCCAACTGGGTTTCCTTTTAAAAGATGCCCATTCCATTACATTCACATGGACAAAATGAAATGAAATAGAAGTGAAATGCGGATAAGGGCCCTTCCTCGCATTCTACGAGAACCATTAATTCTAGGTATAATTTTCTCAAATCATTCTCTTAGATATTTTCATCTTCGATTTCATGATTTGGTTGCCAGACTATCAGTTCTTTTAGATTACCCCATTCTAGGATCTGTGCAGTTACCAGTAAGAGTGTTGCTTGAAACTGATCAACTATACCTGGTGTCAGAATTCTTAGCAACTTCAATTCATTTTGGTATCTCCATGGGTCCCAAAACTATGGTTTGTACAATCTTTGTATGCCATGGCTAAAGCCTTCAACCAAAAGGCAGATACCTCTCGTCAAAAGTCATTTCCTTGGCCAAAGAAGGCTCGATCGATCGATGGCTCAAACACCTTTTCATTTCTCAACATGTGTGGATTTACTAGCTAGTAGTATGTTACTACCTCCACCTCCACCTCCTTAATTACATCCGACAAGAATGGTGGACCAATGATCTGAGACCTCCATCAACAAAGGCATAGTGGAGAAGACCACTCCTAACCATCATGCAGAAAACATTCCTTTACTTCTTTCTCTTCCTCCAAGTTTAAGTGAAAACAATCAGGCGGCTATTGTACTGTAGCATGGCATACAATAGCACCATGCAGTCAAAAGCAAACCTAATTGATCTAAATTTGTTGCAATAGCCCAACTTAGACCATTAGATGAATAGAATAATCCATTTGGGTACGGTAGCTGAATCTTACCAGCTATACTATCTGTTGTACTCGTTTACTTGTGAGTTGACGTTTGGCTAAACAGGTGTATCATACGTGGTCCAAAGAGAAATAATTATCGTCATTGGCTACCTAATAAAAAATACTCTACACACTTGTTTTTGTTGGTTTCATTTAGCATTTTCCCTCATTGCGGTATGGATTACCATAGGTTAAATTCAATGGTGGGTTACCAAAGGTTGAAAGCAGTGACATATTACCCAAGGTAGAATTCAGCGATGGACACCGAAGGAATCCTTCAGTGAAGGATTGTCGACGACTTATCAATAACGAATCACAAAAACATGTCACCAAATTAAAATCTATGCATGTGCAAATAACTAGCTAGGAGAGGGAGGGGAAGGGAATTCATTAAAGTGGGCGTGCAGCCGACAGCTCGGCCATCTGCATTGCGGTCCAAACCGGAAGTATGTGGTAATATGGAGGTAAGAAAAAGACATGCGACGACACATGACGTGGAAAAACAACGTCGATTTTACGCAAACGAGAGTCCTTAACATCACTTGGAATCATGATAGATAACAGGGAATGTAATACCTTCACATAAAATAAGCACTTTAGAAAAGCACAAAATAAAAGGAAAATTCCCCCTCGCTTTCGATTCTTCACATACCAAATATCCCACCACCCTTAAGTAGCATACCGCTTCATCAATACAAAAGTATATATCAACTTTAATGTGTACGTAGTACAAATTAATCACCAAATCTTTTATTGTCACACTACGTACTAAGACAGGAGATTTTTTAGCAGCTAACATCACCGACACCCAATATTCTTTGGTATAAAAATATATGGTAGATCAAGAAAGATCATGTTTTTCATCAAGATTAATCTACATATAACGAGTATGATTATCAAGAAAGATCATGAAATATATACACGTGGTGGGATGTGGTCGAGGACCCAATCATCATGAGCAAAAGATGTAAACGTATGTAGTTGAATGTACATTATGTTTGTGTTATATCAACGAGCTATTTGTTTGTGTTTTCCTTTTATCACTTGTTACATATTGGGTTAATCATCTTGATTGCTCTATCCAAGTTTGTGTGCGTGAGTTGTTAGTAAGTCACACGTTTATAGTTGTTATGCCTTAAAGTTTGCAATTTGATTCTTTAGGTACGTGTGATCTAGACCCAACAGTGGTATATATCAGAGCTTTAGATTTGTTTCTTGGTGATTGAAGAATTATATCTTGTTGCACCTTTATTCGTTTGTTCTTTTCTGGATACACACAAAGTTTGTTCAAGATGGCTAACTCAAAAGAAAACACAAGAAGGGGAATTTTTGCCCTAATTGATTCTCCATTTATGGATCACCGTCGGATTATCAGTCAAGATGCATCGTGTGGAATTCTAGATTGCTCTATCGGCTTGTGTTCAAAAGTCAAGAAGAAACGACATTTGGAAGGAGTTTGTATCGTGGGTCTTTGTTCAAGGATGATTTTCTTGCTAATTTATATACATGCATTGAATAAATGCGTTGGTTGTGGGTGATACATACATACATATATATACATACGGGGGAGTGATCAAATGCAAACCACTCAATTTGTACAAACCATGCAAACCTCATTCAACCAATCATAATTTTTCATTTTATTCATTTTTTGTAATTATGAGAGGTTGATTAATCATTTTTATTGTGGAGGGTGTTAATCATAGATATTATCATCTTCATTATTTTAATTTTTAGAGAAATACATGAAACAGTTTCATTAATTTTAAAGAAATACATGAAACAGTTTCATTAAGTATTATATGAAACAATTTBACAACCATATATGAAACAACTTGATCAAAAAAAGTATTATATGAAACAATTTCACAAGATTAAACAATTTCATGAAAAAATTTCATAAGATTAAACAATGAAATCGACGGATAAAGGTGGTTTGCACGGTTTACACAAATGAGGGCGGTTTTTATTTGATCACTCCTCTATACATACATACATATATATACATACAGGGGCCTAATCAAATGAGAACTAATTAGTTTGTGGTAACTGTGAGAACCAATATTAACCACAAATCAATAGATAAATTAGGAAATTTATAATTTTGGCAATTTTGAATAAAAATATTAATGCAAAGATATTTTTGGTATTTTAAAACTTTCCTTCATTCTCTCTTCTCTCTCCGGCCACCGTCCTCCAGCCACCGTCCGCCGGTGATACTACAATGGTATCACAATGCATCATATATGTGCTTGGGTATCACATTGATGTCGTTTATGTGGTCGATCGAAGATGTAACACAGTGGTATCACTATGCATCTTATATATGATTAGGTATCACAATGTATCTTTTGTTTAACAGAGTCAATATTTTTAGGTATCATAGTGGTATCACCGGAGGCCGGAGAACGGTGGCTGGAGAGAGAAGAGAGGAGAGATGAGAGTTTTAAAATACCAAAAATATCCTTGCATTAAGATTTTAATTTAAAATTACCAAATTTATAAATTTCCTAATTTATCTATTGATTTGTGGTTAATATTGGTTCTCACAGTTATCACAAACAACTCAGTTCTCCCTTGAATAGGCTCCTATACATACATACATATATATATATACATACATATATATATATATATGTGTGTGTGTGTGTGTATGTTTCTTCCATTTTGAGACGTCGTTCATTGGGGCATTTTCAAGATGTGGATGCTCATTTGGAACTTAGTTTAATTGAGGATTTAAATTTAGAGGTTGTTTAGTTAGTATAGCGATCAAGCATACTTGTTTAAGAGGAGTCTGAGGAGCTTATTTCATTTTGGCATCAACAAAGGTAGGTATTTGCTCAAGGTGGATTTGTTGTTACCTTTGTTTTGAAGATGTTTAGTATCATGCATGGTAGAAGTGTCAAAAACGTTCTAGGCATCGTGGAAGTCCGCAACATGGTCCAATACGAAAATTCCAGAAGTCTTAATTAAGTCGGCGAAAGCAACTTAGAATTTTTGGGTATTTGGCATGGTCGTTTCCTATCTGCAACACGGCCATCTCATGCAATAAACTCCAACTCCTTCATTTTAGGATTCAGTAAGCTTTAACAACTCCTTTTTGGCTTATTTATCACGAATTTGAGAGAGAGACAGACGTTGGTGAGGATTACTTCGATAGCTTTAGAGTTTCAGGATCACAAAATGAATTATCTTCGCAAACCCTTTCACTTTTTTAGTTTTTCTTTCGTTAATCTGGATCATCCGTATGTGGAGGATATACACGATTATCTAACGATGGAACCCATGTTATAAATGTGAATTATTTTACATGTGATTTTCTTTGATTATTTATTACATACTGTGTTATTCGTCTTAGTTATTTGATTCACTTTTGTTTTGCATCGATTGTTAGTAACTAATTGTTAGACATTTATCGTTCTTATGACAAAGTTTGCCATTTGTTTGTTAGGAGGTGTGACCTAAACACAACATAATCATAAATCAAAATATAAGGTACATACGAATCAAATTTTGACTCACTTGATTAAATCATAAATTAATTGATTAAATCCCCATCTAAAAACTCAGCTTTTTGTTCATAACAGACTTTGCTGATCCCTCTAGTGGGCTGGGAATATTTGCTATGGAAATAAAGTTTGTAGAATTGGATGAACACAAAGCATGGCTCCAAGTCAAGGCATGGATGCCTCCAAATAATATATATATATATATATATATATATATGCCCCCTCGTGTACGAGGAAAAAATGCCAAATGGACCACTATTGTAAATCCATATGGTCTATCAAGTTTACCATCAAGTGCATTATAGTATTTGCATACACACATATACGATATATATATATATATATATATACACATGTATGTACATATCTTATAATGTCCGATAACTTTTCATATATGTTCGTAAGGAATTAATAGATGAGTTGAATGATATCACAAAAACACGTTTACGAAGTTGATAAGTGACAATTGGTGCTACCAAGAACACTATTCCCTTATATTTCATTTTCATGCCTTTATTCTGTCCCTGCCATTACGAAATTATTCCACAAACCCTATATAAATGGCCACATATTTGTCTTCACTTCCTCACACCAAAATCATATACTCTTATATATATATATATATATATATACTCTTTCACAAACAACTTTAAAACAAAACGTTTACTTTCCGAAATGGATATGGTGACGAGAATGGCGTCAGAGAAACCGGTGGTGATATTCAGTAAAAGTTCGTGTTCAATGTGCCATACGATAAAGTCTCTCCTTTTGGAATTTGGAGTAAACCCGACCATCTATGAACTAGATGAGATCTCCAAAGGTCGGGAAATCGAGCAAGCCCTTTTGATAGTTGTACAGAACCCTATGGTCGTCCCTGCTGTGTTCATAGGAGGTCAATTTGTTGGTGGAGCCAATGAGATTATTAGCCTTCACCTTCAGCAAGCTCTGCAACCTATGCTCAAAGATGCCGGAGCTCTTTGGGTGTGACCAGCCCTTGAATATATATATATATATATATATATATATATATATATATATACAATCTGCCTGTAATAAATACGTTTTAATTGCATATATATCGTCAACATGAGTTAATAATAAGCCATTGTGGAGTTTTGGTACTACTTGAGAAAATCAAGGATATGTTTTCTATTTTTTTCCTTTCAACTACTAGTTGCAAAATCAACGAGGTCGTTTTTCCTTTCTATTTGTAAATGAACTTGTACGTTTTGATGCAATTGATAACGTTCTTTTTGAATAACGAGCAAAACTACACCCGATGAATGACGCTTTTCTCATTTTTCATTGACGTTTTCCTATTGATATAATGGACTAAAAGTGTTTGTATATTGATATACAAGACTACCAAAGTCCATTGCTTTTTTTTTCTTTTTTTTTATAAGTACATAATATTAATATACGACAAATACAACAAATAAACTCATAAACCCTTCTCATCTTTGGTGAGGTTGAACTTCTGACCTCCTAGGCCAAATACTACGATATAGCTAGGCCAAAGGCCCTTTGGTGTCCGTTGCATTTCTTGGTGGTTGAGCATGAACTAGCTTCAACAATAGTGCAGGGCCCGGGCCCATAAAAATTAGTGGCTCAATTTTTTTAGTATAATGTTAATAGTTAAAAATATTATGGTAAAAAATACAAATTAATTATGGGCCAAAATAAAGAAACAACAAGATCTTTCTTTTCTCAGGCGATCGGAAAATAAAGAAATGGTTAATCTATGCAAGATAATTACGTATTTACAAAATACCGTCTCAATTCATCCCTATTGGAATTAGCTCTGTATCAATGAAATCTCATCATCCATACATAACGAATTGATATGGTATATTCATATCATACTATATGAACAGTAAGAATTAATAAGAGAAAAAAGGCCCAAGAGTTAGAAGGCCCAAATAACTTAAGCCCTAAATTTATGACTTATCTCCAAGGTCCAACCGTACGCCTCACCAATATGGCAATCTCAGCTCTAGCTCTCCCAAGGACCTAATCGAGTAATCGGTCGACTCTTCCAGTCTTCCAGAAATCGAGAACTCACGCTCTCACCTCTCCAACGGTCCAAACTCTGTATCTTCTTCTTCTCCTACTCGGCTACTCAGTTTCGATTTCAAATTTTCAAAGACGTTGTTTGACGTTTCATTTCCCTAACAGTAATTTACAACCGAGTCACTGAGGGATATGAAGAATCCGATGCAGAGGCATCCTCATATCCTTCAAAGTCTGCTCATACCCATTAATGGGGGTTTAGGTTAGGATATTTGTCATTATTAATACTATTTCTATCATTATTTAAATTATTGTGTTGAATGTTGATTGTTGTCCGTTAAAACTTGAAACAAGCAAATTGCAAACAGTTTCTGATTTCTCTTTTCATCAGCAAATTCTATTGTTCATTAGTTGTTCCATGCTTCTGAGTTTTGGACTTCAAGAATCAAGACTGTGATTTCGGCAAGTAATGATTTTTTAGTTTTTCGATTTATCAATACAGTCCTATTTATCAATTTTTTTTGTGATTTTAGAGTTTCACCGAGTTTGCAATTCATTGGTCTTAGACTTTTACTCTTGAGGCTTTTTTGAAAGAATAAATTGCAGATATAATTCTATACAGAATAGAATATCGAGTAAAACTATGCATAAACTCTTGAGGTTTTTTTGGAGAAGCTATCTACCTTATTCAAGATATACAACATTAAAATATGGGTCGACTGGTTTTCGTGGTAGCATTGACAGTCCCATAGTCGGCAATAGTTTAGGACTATTTGAATGATTCCTCTTCAAGTTGTGTAATATATTAGAGGCAAACCTAGATCATAGATGGCAGCACCAAGGCTTGGGGAGTAGGGCTGTAAACGAACCGAACGAACGCGAACGGAGACTTGTTCATGTTTGTTCGTTTAACTTAACCGAACAAACGAACGAACACGAACGGTAAACGAACGAAAATCTTTGTGTTCGTGTTCGTTCGTTTAGAAATAAGGTGTGTTCGTGTTCGTTTATGTTCGTTCGTTAACATGCTAAACGAACGAACATAAACAAACGGACTAAACGAACAGATTAAACGAACATAAATAAATATTATTTGAATTCAAAATAAATAAATAAAAGATTATATATTAAATTTAATATATAAACAAACATAAACGAACGTAAACGAACGATAAATAAACGAACGTTCACGAACATAAATGAACGAACGAGACTCTTGTTCATGTTCGTTCGTTTAACTAAACGAACAAAAAAATTTGTTCATGTTCGTTCATTTATTAAATAAACGAACATAAACAAACTTCCCGTCGAACGGTTCGCTGAACGTTCGGTTCGTTTACAGCCCTATTGAGGAGGAGCTTTCCCTAACCTTTGCTAATGCATCCCGCAATCTCATTGATTTTGCAATTCATTGATCTTAGACTTTTACTTATGATTTGATTGTGGTTTTAGACTGTAAATTGAAATCAATTACTAATATCTAACTTTGTCTATTTTTTTTAAATCTACAGACTACAATCTACTAATCAAGGAATAGAAGAGTTAATTTATTTAATTCCGATACATATTCCAAGACTCAAGTGCTTCTGTTCTTATTTAGTTTGAGTTTGTTAATTGTTTAAGCATGATGCCTAAAAAACATTTGTCTGGAAGTGTGAAAAGGAAAAATGAAAAATTGGTTGAGCAATTAGTACAATCACAAAAAAGAGCCATGGACAAATTTGTTAAAGGCGTAGGCACCTCTAATGAAAATTTAGATGAACATAATATTGAGCACCCAAATGTTGAATTTAATACTGAGTATCCACATGTTGAACAATATACCTTTTTTTTTATATTTATGATCCTAGTAATTGGGATAATCTTGACAATAAATCAAGAGATATTTTAGTTGAAAATGAGCCTATTAGAGAATTTAATATAGAGTTTCCTTTAGATAGCACGTCTAGGCATTTTTTCTATTCTTATTATGACAGATTGTTAAGTAATGGTGAGTCTAATGACCGGAAATGGCTAGTTTATTCAAAACATGTGGACAAAGTGTATTGTTTTTGTTGCAAGTTGTTCAAGTCTAGGAACTATAAAAATGCAACAACTGATGATGGATTTAGAGATTGAAAGCATTTTGGTGAAACACTTAAGGAACATGAGAATAGTATTGAGCATATGAGTAATATGTTATCTTGGAATAAACTGAGAATAAGGCTAAATACAAGCCAAACGATTGATAAAGATTTACAGCAAGAAATTTTAAAAGAGAAAGAACGTTGGAGGCAAGTTTTAGTAAGAATAATTGCCGTTGTAAAATGTTTTGTCAAATATTCTTTGCCTTTTAGAGGATCTAATGAGAAGTTATATCAATATGGTAATGGTAATTTTTTGGGATTAATTGAAATGATTGGAGAATTTGATGTGATAATTCAAGATCATATTAGGCGCATTCAAAATCATGACATTCATTATCATTATTTTGGTTCTAAAATTCAAAATGAGTTGATTTCTCTTTTGGCTCATAGTGTTAAAAATTCTATCATAAAAATTATCAAAGAGGCTAAATATTTTTCTATAATTCTTGATTGTACACCAGATGTGAGTCATCAAGAGCAAATGAGTTTAAACATAAGATGTGTGAATATGTCTGGTAATAAAATAAAAATAGAAGAGTATTTTTTAGGATTTTTAAAGGTTGATGATACATCTGGTTTAGGGTTGTTCAATGACTTATTAAATCTACTTAAATCTCTTGATATGAGCGTCATATGTGAGGGGTCAAGGTTATGATAATGGTTTTAATACGGAGGAAAAACACCAAGGAGTACAAAAGCGGCTACTTGAAATTAATCCAAAAGCTTTGTATATATATGTCATATGTTTGTCAAAGCTTTAATCTTACTCTTAGTGATATAGCTCATTTTTGTGTTAAAGTTGTTCCGTTTTTTGAAATTGTGCAACGTATATACACATTATTTTCTAATTCCACAAAAATATGGAAGGTGTTACTTGATAATGTTTCAAACATGACTGTAAAATTTTTATGCAATACAAGTTGGGAGAGTAGAATAAGAAATGTGAAAGCCATTGGATTTCAAGCTCCTCAAATAAGATCGGCTTTACTTGAATTATCAAAAGCATGTGATCATGCCAAGTCGAAAAGTGAAGCGGAAAGTTTGGTAAGTGCAATTGAAAATTTTGAGTTTTTATTTGTTATGATTATTTGGTTTTTTGCAATAAGCATGGTTAGTAAAAAGTTGCAATTCAAATTTTTGTGTATTAATGCTACCACGGAACAATTTGAAGGTGTGATGAAATACTTTGATAAATATATGAATAATGGGTTTGCATCAAGTATGGATACTGTTAAATAAGTAGATTGTGAAATACATACGTACATACACACGTACATACACACGTACATACATACATACATACTTGCATGGATACAAATACTTCGCTACCATCCGGTTAATTAGGGAGTCCTGTGAACTTCCAACAATAATTTATATAGGATTCCTAATTTATTCTCAATATGTCTTGTATCAACCAAATGATACTAAATGTTGATATTCTCTATTCTTATTACATCGTCATTTGAGATATAAGTATTACAATGATATAATAAAATCCTAAAAAGATTTAAGTTCCAATAACTTTTCATACAAATTCGCAAGCAATTGATTGATAAGTGGAATACTTTCAGATATAATAAAAACATGTTAAAATCAAGATACTTGATGGGAGACAAATGGTGCTATCGAGAACACAATTCTCTCTTGCTTCATTTTCAATCCTTTATTCTTTGCAAGGCATTTATCCAATAATTCCATAAATCCTATGCAATGCGGTCTCTACAACCTATGCCCAAAAACAAGGAGCTCTATGGGTGCAAGCTGCCCTTAACTGATACGAAGAAACAAGCCGTACGCCTAACACACACTACTAGAAAACAAGGTATCAACGAGGGAAAAACATCGTTCGCAGATCAGCAGGAGATTGGCCAAAAACAGAATTCCTCGCTGATCCCTCAATTTATTGCTAAATAAATCGTCCTTACCATTTTTACAACGATATGCATCAAAAATCAACCATCTTTTTCTATGTTTTATGTACACGAATTAGCCACGGTTGAACCAAGAGGACACGCGATATCCATATATGCTTATGTCATCATTACAATGTTTTATAGGATATTTAAAAATTTTAAGCATCCTAATAAAATATTTTATTGGAGTTACGTTTATAAGAGTAAACCAAAAAAATATCCTTTCTATGAGTGTTAATCTAATAGGTCTATATTACGTTTTTACAAGTTTTTAGGACGTTATTAAAATAAAGTGTTGTAATAACTATTTTATACGACATTATTTGAAAAAATATTCTATAAACGCACGTTATTAAAATAAAGTGTTGTAATAGCTATTTTATACGACATTATTTGAAAAAATATTCTATAAACGCATGTCGTATAAAATACTTAATAGCACACTTTATTTCAGAAACATGCAAGAAGCTTGTTAAGACTCTCAAAAGTGTACTATAAACTTATTTTAATGCTTTTAGATCATATGCACTACAAAATGAAGAGTATTAACGAGGGAAATTTCCCTCATTGATCTATCGCTAAAGGGTCATTTGTCGTTGATAGTTCGTCGGTCAAAAGCTCGTAGATAATGTTATCGGTGACGAATTAGCGACGGAATTCAGCGATGGATCAGCGATGGAAACTTTCAACGGTTGTTCAGCGAGGAAAACTTTCAGCGACGGATCAGCGAGGGAAACTTTCAGCAAGGGAATCTTTCAGCGAGGGATCACAAACCTATTGTAACGCTTTTAGATCATATATGACGCTTTATAATTTGGTCATAAATTTAAATTCTATAAAATATTCTATTAGGAGACTTAAACATCGTATGCATATTACCAAAGGGCCTTCGGCCTAGCGGTATCGTAGCCCTTGGCTTCGTAGGAGGTCAAGGGTTCAAACCTCACCAAAGATGAAAAAGGTGTGTGAGTTTATTTGTTGCATTTGCCGTATATAAATATTATATACTTGAAAAAAAAAAACATCATATGCATATTATCTTATGAGTGTTTTAATAAAAAGGGATTAGCTACCTGCCACTTTCTCTCTCTCTCTCTCTCTCTCTTTCTATATATATCATTCAAGGGAGAACTGATTAGTTTGTGGTAAGATCCAATCTCAACCACAAATCAATAGATAAATTAGAAAATTTAAAATTTTGGTAATTTTTAATTAAAATTTTAATGCAAGGACATTTTAGGTATTTTGTATCCACTCTCCTCTCTTCTCTCTCCGTCCCCGTCTTCTAGCCACCGTCCTCCGGTGATACCACAGTGTGATACTCAAGCACATATAAGATGCATTGTGATACCACTGTGTTACATATCCGATCGACCACACAAACGACCACAGTGTGATACCCAATCACATATAAGATACATTGTGATACCACTGTGGTATCACCGGAGGACGGTGGCCGGGGGACGGAGGCCCGGATATGGAGAGAGGAGAGAAAATATCTAAAAATGTCCTTGCATTAAAATTTTAATTAAAAATTACCAAAATTATAAATTTCCTAATTTATCTATTGATTTGTGGTTGAGATTGGATCTCACGGTTACCACAAACTTGCTTATCCACAACTGGAAAATGTGTTTATATATATATATATATATATATATATATATATATGAGAGAGAGAGAGAGAGAGAGGAGCGATTAAATGAAAACCACTCCAATTTGTAAAAATCGTAAAAACTATTCTCATCCGTCGATTTCATTGTTTAATCTTATGAAAAAAATTTCATTAAATTGTTTAATCTTGTGAAATTGTTTCATATAATACTTTTTTTGATGAAGTTGTTTCATATATGGTTATGAAATTGTTTCATATACTACTTAATGAAATTTTAATGAAACTGTTTCATGTATTTCTCTAAAATTAAAATAATGAAGATAATAATATCTATGATTAACATCCCCCACAATAAAAATGATTAATCAACCTCTCATAATTACAAAAAAAATGAATAAAATGAAAAATTATGATTGGTGAAATAAAGTTTTTACTGTTTTTATAAATTGAATGGTTTTCATTTGATCGCTCCCCTATCTATCTATATATATATATATATATATATATACACTATATATATCATGACTATATTTGTCACCAACCTAGCTAAAACTCTCTCTTTAAAGTATTATCTTCACATATCATCCTCACAAACCCTATATATCTCCACATGCTCACCAACAAGCCACATAACGAATTAAACATATATAGTATCACTATCTTCAATCACAATGTGCAGTTTTCAGTTCATTAATGGATAATGGACAGAATGGTTTAATTTCTGAGAGGCATGTGCTCATCTTCAGTTCTTGCATCTTATCCTATCTCTCATCTATGACTTAATTTGGTCTAAACCCTAAGGTCTATCCTCTCATGCATCTTATCCTATCTCTTATCTATGACTTAATTTGGTCTAAACCCTAAGGTCTATCAGCTTGATGAGATAGCAGGTTCCCCACAGAATGAGTAGGCATTATAAAAAACAACTTTTTAGATCTACAAAATAATTAAGTACGCCCCAGACATCAGGGCTGTACAGAATTAACGAGCACAGTCCCTGATGTCTTCATTAGCGTTGAATCTTTGGAACGGACTTAATTATTCTTTAGCTCTAAAAAGTTGGTTTTTATATAATAAATTTCATCTTTTTATAAACATATATTGTGTTTTGACCCCCAAATTAATTGGCTTGGGCCCCCAATTTTAGCATAAATCCATTCAATCAAAACCCTTGTCCATACAAAAGTTGACCCAGTAAACACCAAATGTGCTTCAACATTCCATTCACTCCTTCGCTTAATTTACATAAACTGAAATATTTTAAATGTTCTTGGCATAAATGTATTTATATTTGATTTGATTTTAATGTTATTTTATGTATAATTATATACATACATATATAATTACCTATAACATATTATAAAGTATTTGATACAAGTATTAATTGAGTAAGAACTTAGGGGCCGTTTACCCAAATGCTTACTCAATAAGGGTTTATCGATAGGAGTCAACACTATAATTTATTTTGATACGTAAGATTTTAGTACATCAAAACATATAGAATACAACAATTTACTGGTAAGAGTCGCTATCATCACTTACCGGGTAAGACTCTTCATCATTCATGTCGCTCTTACCTGGTAAACGGCCTCTTAGTGTTGGGTATTATTTAGTAATGCATAATTCATTAAATATCAAATTTACAAATAATTATTGTATACATGCAATTTTCTTAAAATTGTTTGAACTTTATAAAACTAACCGATAAATACGTTCACATATAGAATAATCATTGAGACTTTCTAATACGATAAAATATTACGTCATTATCTTTAAAAAAAATCCCATCACTAAAATAGAAATAAAATTAACTCTAAAATATTTATTATTAATTGTTAGGATTAGTGTTTGTTATTTCATGTCTAATTGTTAAGTATTTGTTAATTTGTTTTGTTATTTCGTTAGGAAAGCGAAAAGATGTTCAAAAAAAACTGTTATATTAATTTGCGAGGAAAAAAATGAAAATATTTTCAAAAGAAAAATGTCCACGTTCGGAACTGTAGCGACGGTAATGATTCTCTTCATGTTACGTTACTTAAATTCTGACCTTCTCGTCAAAGCTTTTGGATCTGTCCGTTACTTGCAGTACGGTTTAACTAAAAGTTCAAATCATAAAAGGGGTTAAAGTCCGTTCACTGTTAATTTCAAACATATTCGCAAGTGATTAATTAATATATGAAGGGAATAATTTGAGATATTACGATAAGATGTTCGCACCAACATAGTTGATAAGAGACAAAATAGTAGTGTTATCAAGAACACAATTCTTGTTTACTTTCTATTTCATGTATTTATTCTTTACATGTTCATTATAAGATTATTCCATAAACTCTATATATATATATAATTGGCCACACATGGTTTCTTCACTTCTCATACCAAAACCCTATAATCTTTTCAATCCTCTTTTATTAGTATATATACACACATATATATACCCTTCTCGAAACAAATTTAAGACGGAAAATTGAACTTTTAAAATGGATATGGTGATGAGAATAGTCTCTGAGTGGCCGGTTGTGATATTTAGTAGGAGTTCGTGTTGTATGTGTCACTCGGTGAAGACTCTTATTGCGCAGCTTGGAGTAAACCCTGCAGTCTATGACATAGATGAGATCCCCAAAGGTTGGGAAATCGAGCAAACCCTTTTGAGGCGCGGACGAAACCCTCCTGCTGTGTTCATCGGAGGTGAATTTGTTGGTGGAGCCAATAGGATTATTAGCCTTCATCTTGAGCAATCTCTACAACCTATGCTTATAAACGCGGGAGCTCTATTGGAATTCGAATGACTGGCCTGATGCTTGTAATAAACTCGTTTTAGTCTCGTATATTTTGCTCCGTTGACCGTGCATGTCAACTCGAGAGTCAACTTGACAATATCAATCCATGTTATGTTTTCTTAATTTTTGGTTTGGTTTTCTTTTTCTTTATAGCTACTTTGGTTCATCAAAGATCCTCAGCTTTGCAAGTAAGTACCAAGATTTGGAAAATGAAGTCATATTTTCTTGTAAGTAGTAACTTAAAATGAGTTCTATACATACGTTTTTTATCACTCAAGTTATATCTAATTTAAGTTAATTCATATTCCACAACTTTCCAAGTCGTTTTTTAAGTCACTTACAAAAATGGCATACTCTCAATACATCAAGCAAGGTTGAGGGTGACATTTGAAGTCAATCAACGACTAGCGACCGTAACTGTGGCATCTGGTTCAACCGTGCAAAAATGTTGTCACGAAGATCGTTATACAAAATATGGATACAGTTAATCAATTACCAATTTTGGCTAGTTGGTCGGATTTGCATTTGATCATTGCATTTTTTTTCATGTGGTATTTTAAATTAAAATACCGGTTTGCCAGCCATAAAGCCTCCAACCAACAGGCCAAAGTTGACACCGTTTTGTTGATAATTAATAGGAGTCCAAAAAAATTTCTTTAATAGCATAATATAATGATATATTAATTATATAAAAAAAAATTGTTTCTGTTATAGGATAACTGGAAAAGAATGAAGAGAATGAATATGTATTTCTCATTAATCATAGGCTCATTTTATAAGAATGAGTTACAAGTAGATAACTACGAAATATTTCACTTCTAATCTAACTCTAATATATCTATCTTCATCGTCATATCCTTTAGACGATGACACAATTATCCTACAACACTCCCCCTTGTGTTGAGTCAAATGAGTGATGGTGCACAACTGTTGGCTCGTTAAAACCTTACGTCAAAATAAAAACCTAGTGGGAAAAAATAAAAACCTAGTGGGAAAAAATAAAAATTAGGACAAAGAAAAGAGTACAACGCTCCAGTTTCTTTGCAATACATAGACTTTTCCTTTTAATCTAATATTCTTTCAGATTCGTACATTAATCATGAGTATTAGGAAAGTAATACGGTATATAAATTATTGTATCACTAAAAGCTTACACTAAGAAACAAAACCTAATGGGATAAATAAAACCTTGAGTGAAGAAAAAAACACAACATATCAACATTACATATATAGTAGAATCCTCCATTTATCAACATTACATATATTATTCTCATTACGCTTTCTGGCAAATGATTTATCTATGTCGTACAGGCTTTATACTTGGTAGGTTAGCATTACTTGACCAAATATCAGTTCATTTGTCAAGTAGTATAATTTTTCTGGATTGTTTCTTTTTATTTAGGACATATTTACTCTTCGTTGACGTTTTTCAACTGAGTGTGATTCGATGTCATCGTGCTCTATCATCTTATGAGCAACAATATATATGATTTATCATCAATGAGTATGTATGATCTGACCATCGACTCATATGCACTCTCATAATTCATTTGAGATTTTTTGATCTCTGGAATCAATATTAACTTCGGAGCGTCCTCCACTAATGATTCATAGACAGTTTTAATCAAAGATAATCTCGTGAGAGGTTTATGTATTGATGATAAATGGTTGATACTCTTCTTTTCCTTTAGATGAGTATCTATCGAACCAAATAGCTTCCCATATTTCCTTTTGGGAGCCACGACCCCAATCACACCTCCACCATGTGTGATTGTAATGCACTTTCCAGCGGCATTGTGCCCTTGTTTAGGGACTTTTAACCTTGCGGGTATATTTGTAGTCGATATATGTGATCTTGTCACTTCTTAAATAACATTTAAATGTATCAGATATCGAGTCTGATTCGTTTAAATATTTAGTATTTGTTTCACTTCACTTTCACATTGTGAAGTGCGGGGATCAAAATATTACCATAATCCATAGTTTACTCTAAAAAATATTACCATAATCCATACCTTTCACAAAAATTCTAGATCCAGTCACTAGCTCGAGCTTAGTAGGGGGTTTCAATTTTATACCAAGATAAAATAACAAATTATCGTACCAACCATATCAATTTAATTGGTATCAGATTAGTCGGTATCATTGTAATTGGTTATTAGTATCATACTAACTATCTAATCTAAGTCGGTACATGATATAGAAGTCGTGTACCACGGTAATACTGTATCATACCAATTTAAATTTTTAATTCTTTATTAATTAAAGTTTAACCGCTAATACAACATATCTTGATTCTATAAATTTTTAATTACCTTCTTTTCAATTGTGTTGAATTATAATATGGATGATTATATAAAACTTGATTAATTCATTCATTTAACCCTAACAACCTTAGTAACTCGTCTACAACTCCATGACCCATCATAAATCCTCGATGGCGGCTTGTGTTAAATTATTATTTGTATTATATTAAAGTTATTTGACTGCTTGTATACATATGGACAATTTGTACAACACATATCAACGTCTTATTTGATAGTTCAGGGATTTTAGTACATCTACATCATGTTGGTAAAAATATTAATATAAATAAATTTATAAATTTAACTTTTGTAATATTGGTACAACACCAGACCAACATATATATAGCAACCAAAAAATGTTTGGTTCCTAATACAATTAGGTACTATATATTATATGAAATTGTATATACCAATTAAAAATGATTAATACACGATATATATATATATATATAGGGGTATAATCAAATAAGAGCTAATTAGTTTGTGGTAACCGAGAGATCCAATCTCAACCACAAATCAATAGATAAATTAGAAAATTTATAATTTTAGTAATTTTGAATTAAAATTTTAATGCAAAGACATTTTAAGTATTTTCTCTTCTCTCTCCGTCCCCCGTCCTTCGGCCACCGTCCTTCGGTGATACCACTGTGATACCTAAAAATATTGATTTTGTTAAACAAAAAATACAGTGTGATACTCAATCACATATAAAATGCATTGTGATACCACTATGTTACATCTCCGATCGACCACACAACCTACCTTAGTATGATACTCAAGCATATATAAGATGCTTTGTGATACCACTGTGGTATCACCGGGGGACGGTGGCCGGAGGACAGGGGACGGAGAGAAGAGAGAGAAGAGTTTTAAAATACCTAAAATGTCAATGCATTAAAATTTTAATTCAAATTTACCAAAATTATAAATTTACTAATTTATCTATTAATTTGTGGTTGATATTGGATCTCACAGTTACCACAAACTAATTAGTTCTCATTTGATTAGGCTCATATATACATACATATATATATATATAGACATGGGATCATATGAGACCAAGGGTTTTTCATGAGACCCGTAAGACCAATTCTCAACCCTTGGATTTAAATCTACAATCCGAACATTCATAATCACAAAATTGCCACGAGACATCTCAATAATCACAAAATTGTCACCATGCAACTTTAGACCTTTAGATCATTAGTTTATAAATTTGATCAATGAACATAAATTGGTCTTACGGGTCTCACGAAAACTTTTGGTCTCACGTGAACTCAACCCTATTCATTGCTTGAAATGTGTACACCCCTTTATAATGAGGGTGACGGTTCTTGTAATAAAAAGGTAACTCCGTTGGTCGGAAAAAAGAAACCGATCATGATGATCGGAAGTCGTGAACAAATGTTAGGAATGATAACAAACAGATAGATCACATGGGACGACGTTAGAAAGTGGAATTTCTGCACCAATTTTTTTAAATCATCCACGAACACAAATCATTACTTATAAAAAAGATATATTTTTTAGGAAAAATTACATTAAAATGGAACCAATTTTCACCTGATTCTTATTTTGGGGAACCAACTTTCAAAATCGTCATTTTGGGGAACTAACTTGCACCTGATTTCTATTTTGGGGAACCAACTTTCTAAATCGTCATTATGGGGAACCAACTTGCACCTGATTCCTATTTTAGAGAACCAACTTGCAAAATAATTATAAAAAAATAACTAAAATTCGTTTTTTTCTTTTCAAAAATTAATGCAATAAAATCTATTTTCATTTCAAATCTCGTTTTTTTTAATTTCATATATCAAATTGAAGATTTTTTTTTTTAAATCCAAATTACCACAATAAAAATTATTTTTTATTAATGCAAAAAAAATCAATTTAATAGATTAAAATTAATTGATGCAATAAAAAATAAATATTAAATATCACATTCAAGATTTTTATATTTATTAAATATCACATTCAAGATTTTTATATCTATTAAAAATCTTGAATGTGATATTTAATATTTATTTTTTATTGCATCAATTAATTTTTTTCTATTAAATTGATTTTTTTTGCATTAGTAAAAAATAATTTTTATTGTGGTAATTTGGATTTTTTTTAAATCTTCAATTTGATATCTGAATTTTAAAAAAACGAGATTTGAAATGAAAAATAGATTATATTGCATTAATTTTTGAAAAAAAATGAATTTTATTAATTTTTCTATAATTATTTTGCAAGTTGGTTCCCCAAAATAGGAATCAAATGCAAGTTGGTTTCTCAAAATGACAATTTTGAAAGTTGGTTCCCCAAAATAGAAATTAGGTGCAAGTTGGTTCCCCAAAGTGACGATTTTGAAAGTTGGTTCCCCAAAATAAGAATCAGGTAAAAGTTGGTTTCATTTTGATGCAATTTTCCCTATTTTTTATACAAACTATAAGATAAATTGCCTTATTTTGTTTTGATTTGTATTTTGGGAAATATATTATATTTTTTTAAGTAATTATAATTATAGAACATATTAATTTGTAACAACCAATTTGACATGCATAAAACTGATTGATGAACTTTTTATAAGCTTAATTAAAGTTGTGAGTTATCAATAATTTTTACAATGATTTTAAGTTACTGGGTTAGTCACTTGGTTTTGCTCAAGGCATTAAAAAATTACACTCAATTATTTTGAATTTTTAAGTTATTGAAAAGAAAAAATTTAAGTAAATAAACCATCAAACTTGTAAATTGATTTTTCCCACGTCAATTTAATCCAAAGAAAAACTACATATAAACTATACAAGGTTCTAAAGTAAAAGAATCTAAATCAATTTTACTGATTTCAAATTTTACGTCATTCAAACCCTTTGCACCCAACAACATTGTTCCCCCTCACCACCCCCAATCATCGTCCTTTTTTTCATACCGTCTATAGCCGTCGTTGACCGCTGCTATCGATCTCCCACTTTTAGATATGTTTTTTTATCATATGGTTCTCCAACTTTTACAATAATTAAATGTAGTACATATAGACAAATCAAAAAGCAAGAGAATGAAATACAAAATAATCGATAAAAAGAGGGAGATTGATGGTAAGGGCCACTGAACACTGATGAGTGGTGATAAAGAGCGGACGACGAGTGGACGGCATGGGTGGCGAGTGGGAAAGATGGCATTGGGTGTAAGGAGTTTGAGCGACATAGGGGTTTGGGAACAGTAAAATTGATATGTGTTTTTTTTTTAAATTCAAAATCTTCCTAACCGGTTATAAATAAATTTTTTTGGGTTAAAATGATGCAGGTAACTAATTTATACAAATTCAATTGTTTATTTATTCAAAAAAATGTTTAAGAACATAATAATTCAAAATAAGAATGTTTAATTGTTTAATTTTCATTCAAAACAAGTTCAAGAACTTAATCATTTAAAATAGAAAATTTGGGTTATTCTAAACTTTTCCCACTACAGAACTTGTTAAGTTATTCAACCTTTTTATAGGTCTATTATTTCCGTCCCTATGGTTTGTGATTTATTGTTGTTTTCGTCCCTGAAACTAAAATCTATTAATCCTCCATTTAATCTGGGGATTAGGCATGGTAACGAGGCGAGGATGGGGCGGGTTTTGAAATCCCCGGCCCCGGTTTGTAGTAACGTCCCCCGGTCCCGGTCCCTGACACGTACAAGGATTATTATCCCGTCTCCGGTCAAATCTCTAGCAATCCCCGGTCAAAATCCGGTAAAACCCCGGTCAATCCCCATAAATAGTATCTTTTATTTTGATTCTACCGGGGATCCCCGGCCCCGTCCCCGGTTTGTGTCTACCGGGGATCCCCGTTCGGGTCGGGTGAACCGGGTTCCCCACCATCCCTACTAGGGATATTTTAGTTTTTTTGATTATTTTGATATTTGGTGTATTAAATATGTTTTTTGGTTTCCTTTTGGTATTTTAGTCTTTTTGATTTAATAAAGCTATATTTTTTATATAAAAAATTATATTATTTTGTTATTGTTTATGATAAAATGATCAAATATTTTTCATACAATTTGGTTTTCCATATTTTTGGTCATTATTGTTTTAGTTTCTTATCGGTTTGATTTATGTCACTAACTTTAATACGTCATTCAAATGTAAGTCGTTGAGTACTCCTCACATGATAGTATTTTAATTATTTTTTCTTAATTATGGGACAAACGATTAAAATTTTATAGACCAAACAATTAGATATTTTTAACTGATAAATGTATATGATTTTACTAATAGAAAGTAGAATTATTTGGTTCCATAAGTCATTTAATTATATTAGACAAATGTATTTCCTATACAATAAGTTTTTAGAATTTTTTTAAAGCATTTTTAAAGAGACTTTTATGAGGTGTCCAATTAATTTTTTTGATATAACAATTCTAAAAAATGACATTTTTATATGACATGTTTTCGGATTTGTATGTAAAAACATGTACGTTTACATGAGATTTTAAAAGAAAAGAGTTACAATAAGTTTTTTATATGATATTTCTGAACAATTTACATTCTTATATGACGTCTTTCTGGGTTTGTATTTGGAAAAAGATGTCGACAAAAAATTAATTGGAGTTTTATTTTAAAAATGTTATAAAAGACGCCTAAAAATATTGTATAAACTTAAAGGCCGTTTACTAAACACTTACATAGTAAGTATTTACCAGATAAATTTTTTTATCGGATGAACATGAGAAGAGTTAAGAATCTTACTGGGTAAGAATGATGAGAATGATGGAGAGTCTTACCCGGTAAGTGAGGATGACGACTCTTACCTAGGTAAACGCTTACCCAGAAAATTGTTGCATTCGATATTAGTAGAATAAATCAAACTCATAAGAAACTAAAATTATAGTTACCAAAAATATTGAAAAAGAAACTAATTATTTTATCATAAACAATAACAAAATAATATAATTCTTTATATATTAATTTTTTTTATCAAAAAATATAAAGTTTTATTGTATCAAAAAGTCTAAAATATCAAAAAGGAAACCAAAAAAAATATTTAATAAATCAAAAAGGAAAAAAAAAACTAAAATACCTCTAAATTAGTCTAGGAGGACTAAAATTGTAATTTCAAAATCACAAGAACAAAAATTGCAAACTTTCTTAAACTAAAGGGACTAAAATAGTAGTTTAATAATCTTAAAAGACGGGCTTTGAAAGTTCGTTATATTTGTTTTAATTAATTTCTCTTTAATATTTTATTTTTATATTTTTAAAACTTTAATAATGGATTTTAATATAGTTAAAAATGTTAGATATAAATGGAAAGCTTCCTTATCTAAATCTTCAACCTCTGGTTGAAGACTCTGTTCACATTCTTCAAACTGCAACTGTTAAAAGAATCGGTGGTTATGGCGGCTTTCGATCTTCCACCGGAGGTGTTGGAAGTGCTTCCATCCGATCCATATGAACAGCTCGATGTCGCACGCAAAATCACCTCCATTGCGCTCTTTGCTCGAATCTCTGTTCTTGAATCGGAGTCCTCGGAGCTCCGAGTGCAGCTTGCCGACAGTGACGTCGTCGTCGATGACCTCCAGGCTCAGATTGACTCGCTGAACTCTTCTCTCTCGGATAGCCTCGATAAACTCTCCCGTGTTGATCAAGAGAAAGTCAGCTTCACATTCCGACTTCTTTTTGCTGAAATTATGGATAGATTTTCGATTTTTTGTTATTGTTCTTGTTTTGATATGAACATTTGTTTAGTTATGTTGTTAGGAAATTCTATTGAACGAGAATGCGTCGCTATCAGAACAAGTTAAAAAGCTCAATCGTGATGTTGCTAAGGTAATTCAAAAACTTTATATAATCTTCGTTTTCTATGTCAAATTGATATGTTGTTCTTCTAATCAGGATTTGGGAAGCGAAGTTTGGTCAAATTTGGTTTATTGGATTTATTTATTGTTCTTGAACTCTGTGGTAATCGCAATTTGGTACCCTGACCTCCTCATATTATAAACTCAGTACGGGTAATCAGTAATGGGTGTTTGAGACTAAATTCATTTCTTCTTGATCGTCGTAGAAATGCATAACCAAGTGCTTTTAGCTTTGATCTCTTCCTTTTAGTAAACATTTTATCAATTCTGGAGTAGAAAACTAAAACCAGTTTGTTATGTAACTCATGCAGTTGGAGAGCTTCAGGAAGACACTCATGATGTCGCTTCAAGATGAAGAAGGCAATTCTGTGAGTAACTTTCTTTATGGATCAAAGATTGTTTTTTATGGTTTGAGGTCTACTTTTTCGCTGCATATGTGGAATAAGAGCATATGAGCATACTTTGAATTTCAACAATATGTCAATATGATATTACAATTAGAGGCATTACTTAAAGGCCTAACCATCTTCAGGTCAATACGGTACCAGCTAACCATCCAAATCTTCAATTTATTCAAATATCTGTTTGGGTTGCAGGCCAAGGACCCTCCTCATGTTGTTGCATCAACTGTGCCAGACCTTGCAAGTTTGTCATCTCAGTCATTTTCTGGAGGTTACTTGATTTCTAGTTTCACTGCAACTAATTGTATTCCAAGAAGAGCTTTATATGACAAAAGAGATGTAATTTGTTTCAGAAGATGAGGAAACTGTGCCACCTTCAAGTGCTTACCCAATCAGGAGTCAGTCATTAGATGTACACAATTCGTATCAGGATGAGCCAGTCACGGATGGTGAGCTACATAGATTATTCCTTTTATCTGTAATGATATTTCTCCAACTGCTCCTCCTGATGGATTGATAAACTTGCAATACTTTTCTATCATATGGGATAAAATTGAAGACTTATTGCCTACTTTGGTTTTTTGTGTTCTTTTCTCTTATCAGCTTCAAGACCGCGAATGTCACCTGGCCTGTTGATAGCATCCCAAACAAGCACACCTCGACTAACACCTCCCGGATCCCCTCCAAGCCTATCAACATCTGGATCCCCAAAGAGGACGTCTAAGCCAGTTTCTCCAAGACGACACTCTATTTCTTTTTCAACCACAAGAAGCATGTCTGATGACAGATCTTCTGCCTTCTCATCAGCAACCTCAAGCCCATATGGCTCCATGTCAGGTATGGATGCTGGATCACAACATAGTGAGAACTTCATCTTAAAAATAAGAGGTGCCTTGTATAAGCATAATGCAATGCCAATGCTCCACTAAATAATGGCAGATTGACCTTTTAACATAAAGACACTAAAGCACATTAAAAGAAAACAAAAAAGAAGTGAATCTGGTTTTCTTACATATGTCAGGTTGGATGAGTCCTCTTACATATGTCAGGTTGGATGAGTCCTCTTACTTATGTACTTGCAAGACAGCTTGGACCTGAAAAACTCCACAATATCTTTTAATGTCAAATAGAGGCCTAGAAACCAAAGATATTCAATTGAAAGATTAATCTGGTTCTCGCTTCTTGCATTGCTATTGAAAAATCCATCTGAAGTTCCTCGAAGATTTGTTTTATTTGATTGTTAATATACTTTCCTATAAATGAAGCATAGTGCATCTAATTCATGATTTACAACAACTATCATCTAGAAAAGTGTTTGCTGTTCTACCTATAGACATCATTTCTGCAAAAAGATCAGAGTACATCACATATGCCTTTGTGCTTGCTTTTAATTTCACTCGACTACCTTTGCGCTACTGATTTAACTCCCTTGTGCTTGTTTCAGGACGGACACGAGTGGATGGTAAAGAATTTTTCAGACAAGTGAGGTAACCTGCTTCCACTGCACTTCTAATGGTGAAAATAGCCCTTGATAAGTTGGTTCTTCATTAAATTTGGTATATCAAACCTGCAAGCAAAGTTGACAATTCTAAACTCTCATTTGAACCATGAGACTGAAATGTTCTGTTTGTATTGCATAACCTTTAATCATCCTTCCAAATTACTCCTCCATCTCATGAAAATTGCAACAATTTTGTAGCAACCTTATTTGATTGCAACATTTATTTGACAAAGTTTTGCAAAAAAAATGATATGACGCCACCCTCTGGAGCTCCGTTGGGTATCCCAAATCAGGTGGGTGGTCCTGGAGTGAAACCCAGACCTCCCATTTATTTTGTAACGATGTCCCACCTCCTTACCTGTTAGGCCAATGCCGCAAGGATACATTTTTGACAAAGTTGTAAGCTAAAATTACCTATTTGCTCCTTGTATCTGTTACCACATTCCGATAGCATTGATTTTAGTTAACAACATCCCCCTATTTTGTAATATATTATGATTATGGATGAAGATGGCATGGCTTCACTCATTGCATTTTCTGCCATTTATGTCATCATTACAACAAAATGGGCATTTTAGGACATCTAGCCGTCATTGGGCGACCTAATAGAGTATCTAGTAGGACTTGTTTTTATAAAACGAACAACTTTGAGTCCTATACAATGGCGTTAGTGTTATAATAAGTTGTTGGAATGAAATTAGGTATCTAACAAGTTTTATTGACGAAGTTGGTCAATATACCAACAAGAAATAAACTTCTCATATGAGCCATGTTATACAACATGTATGAAAAGTGTCATTAGCCTTTTTTTCACATGACACTTTCCAAAAGAGTCATTATAAAAAGGCTAATAAAGCGATTTATTTCTTGTGTCATTAGATCGTCCAACTTCGTTAATAGAACTTGTTAGATCTCCTAACAACTTATTTTGAAGTCGTTGTATAGGACGTAATGTTGTTGATCCTAAACATAGAAGACATGTTTAAGTATTCTATTAGGACGCTCAAGGAAATGCATTCTCATTGGTGTTGCTTCAACTTCAACAATCATGCATCTCTTCTTTCACTTTCATCAGGGGAAGATTGTCATACGAGCAGTTCGGTGCTTTTTTAGCAAACGTAAAGGAACTAAACTCACACAAGCAAACAAAAGAGGTACGTGTACATAAGCTTTCATGCATTTGTCCACCCCAAAACGCCATCCAATCGTTCACTTTTTTTTGGTTCTCTTGTCTCTTAGGATACTTTACAGAAGGCAGATGAAATCTTTGGCCCAGAAAACAAGGACCTTTATGTTATTTTCGAGGGATTAATCTCTCGTAACACCCATTAAAAGGACTACGACATGTTTTTATCTGGAGATTATGACATAATCTTCGTTTTTTTCTTTAAAGAATCTTGTAATTCATGTCAAAAGGACACATTTCAAATGTTTGGAATCAAGATTGATTTGATTTCTAGCATTCTTTTTGCTTTACAGATTTTTAGAAATATATATATATATATGAAGGGTGTAATGTATTATAATCTCGTCTAAAACGGTGGGGTTATTAGTTCAGTATTATAACTAATCTATTTGAAGTATTTGGAAACTGGTTTGACCGATAACTGGTCATTATGTTATGGCTGATGACATTTCATCAGCTCAATATTTTTTTGTTGATATGGACGATGATATGAATTTTGTAATATTAGAAGGGTACCCACACAATGTAGCGAGATACATCTCGATTTTAATATTTCGTTTTTTTTTTTTTTCAATCGATGTTATAATACGGTTTATATGATTTTGAGAAAACGGTAATGTTTTTTTTAATAAAATATAAATATCAAGATATCATAAAAAAATTTAAAAAAAATATTGATATGGGTATCAAACTAATTATTTAAAATTTCTCTTCATTTTTTTTACTTTTGATTTAATAATATATTTTTTGTAAAGATAATGATTATTCTAATTATATTTTAGATATTTTATATTTAAAATAAAATGTATATCCTCTATTTGATTATGTTTATCTGCGATTAGTTACATGAATTCAAACATGAAACTTTAATAAGTTGTATTTATAGATAATTTACTTGTAATCTTGAATATTAAGTAATATGCATTAATAAACAATACTCCATACATAAAAATTGTTTTTAAAATTTTTTGTTAAATGTTTTATAACATAGTATAAGTAAAATTATTCTCGAATCCTTTTTCATATGCTTTGTTTGGAATTTATAACAATAATGATAATATAAAATAAATAACCCTAATGGAAATCAAACACGAATTAGGGTTTTTTTATTATGAAATTTCTAATAACATATAATAAAAAGATCTAAACTAATTTTATATTAAAAGTCTATCTCATTGATCATGTTAAAAAAAAATATTTAGTTGTATTTCATGTCGTTTAGCATATCAGCATGAAAATCAGTTATTCATGTACTTAACTATTTAAGATGTCATATTTTAAATACTGAAATTAAAGTTTTGAAAATACATTACATAAAATAAAATCGGAAAAAAGTATGATACATTTTCAATTTTTCATGCAATTTATTCTTTTTATCTTTAATATAAATTTAACATTATTTAAGATAAATAGGTATCTATAACTAAGGGGTTGTTTGGCAGTTGCTGAATGAATTGGTGCAGAATAATTAAGTCAGGGCCGTCCCAATCTTTTTGGAGGCCCTGTTACATTATTATAAAAAACGTTTAGACAATTTATCTTTAGGACCTTTCTGAACAGACAAATCTCTTTTAGGACCCTTAGCAACTAACACATCAATCATTTTAGAATCTAATGCATCCCAATTTCTTGGATCAAATATATCAAAATGAACAAAAACATCATCAACATTAGTAGCATCATTACCATTAGTAGCATCAGGACCATCATTAGAAGCATTATTAGCATTTATATCAGGAACATCATTAGAAGTAGCCAAATCCTCATGAGAGTCATTTAGAGTGCCAACTAAATTCACCATGGTAGGATTTTCATTAGCATCAACACAAGCATCATCCAAATTAATATCAATATGTTCATTGTCAAGAGAAGACGGACCTTCTTTTAAGACAAATTTATCAAGAGATCCCTTTTGAGATTGAATTATCTCTTCAATTATTTTCTTTTTTTTTACGTTTTTGACATCTAGAATCATATTTTCTAACCCTAGAAGACATATTAGAACTGAAATAAGTCAAATAAAAAAGATAAGAAACAAAATAACCTGAGTGAGGATGATAGTATTACTTCTAGCTATTGATACTTGGTCCTCCCAAGTCCCAACTCCCAAGTCCCAAAAGATTTTGATTGCACTGCAAGAGATAAACACATGTACATATTAACATATATTAGAATTTAGAAATAAGAAATAATAATTTGAAGTCTGTTTGGACCAACACAGAAAAATAACAAACCAGGGAGACCTTTCATTAGTTCATATACTTGCAAAATTGTATAATATATTCAAACAAAACAACTGAACTACTGAAATTCAGTGAACTACAGTGTACAGTCTACTGTCTACACACAGATTACAATTTACAGAACAAGTGAACAACAGTACACTAGTTCCAGGGAGACCATTTGTGACTTGTGTATACATAATACATATTCAACACACAGAGTCCACAGAACAACACTAGGAACAACACTTCCAGGTTGAGTGGTTGACCATTTACAACCAAACTTGTTACTTCCAGGGAGACCATTTCTAATACATAACCTCTCACAAGTCACAAGTCACAGATTACAGAACAACACTTCCAGGTTAAAATCAACCACTTACGATTTAGGAATTAGGTTAAAATCAACCACATTTAGGAACCGAATTTGACAATTTGTGTATACATAATTACCGTTGTTCTAGTTGCCGTTGCAATGGTTGCATATCTAAAACCGAATGGTCCGAATCATTAGCCATTTTGAAAGAATTCAATC